ACCTCTGTACAGTACATAGAAATGTTGGCATTCTCTGGAAAAATAACATTCAAGTGAAAAAAGAGAAGGAAGTCCCTTTATGCTGGAGGTAATTTTTTTAAATTAGCTAAATGGATGGTAAATTGGTGAGAGAAATGTCCAAGAACATTTTTTCTTACATCAATTTTAGAGTTGGAAATATCTGTGTTTCTTGTAATTTGGCCTGAAACTTTTTTGCAGTTTTATCACAAAATGTCCCTATACCAAGTCAGTGTCCTCATGTTGGGCCTTTTTTATTAATTTTTTATGGGAATATAAGTGTCCCTATAGGTTGAATTGTCTGCATGTGTGGGTCTCACTGTATACTCGAGAGGCAGCCACACTTGGGTATCATTTATTGTAACATTTTACAAAGGGTTTAAAATTTTCATTAGCCCTTGGGTGGCAAAGTTGGACTTTTTCTGCAAAATTTGCTGCCTGTTAGAGAAGCTTTAATAAAAAACAAATAATTTAATAATAAAAAAAGTTCAAAGTTTGGAAAAGTCCTGGCATATTTTTTAAGAACCGCAGAAAAATTGTGCCCAAAAATGAAAAAAAATCCATCTCTAAGGCTGAAATTTTTTTTATCCCATCTTGGGATTAGTTACATTATTTTCAGCTTCTTGACCTTTTCATTTTGGGTACCAGAAGAAGGGTTCCCATTTAGAGGCCTCAAAACACAGAAAAAGTCAAACTTGGGGAAATCTCACCAACACAATTTTGCCTGGCAAAGTCTAACTTTGCCCTTGGCCACATGACTTGGCTGTCATGGCCTTGAACAAAATTTGAACCTGGGCCCACTTGAGAAAATTCCAACTTAGTCCTTCAATGGGAACAAACTGTAGTGGCGTCTTCCCAATTAATCTCGACTAAGGTGTGAATCCCAGAAGACCATTAGGACATTACCTTAGTATATACGACAAAGACCACCACGGGTCGGTGTGGTAGTCGTTTATATAATTTGTAATAATAAAAATAACAGATATACAGGTTGGGCAAAAAAAGTGAACCAGTTTTGAACTTACAATATCTCAGTGGTAAATTAAGCTGCAGCAACGAAAAATAATCCAATGAAAGCCTGCTCACTTCCATTTTGAATGATACTGTACATTTGTTTTATCTCCAAGTGCAGTGACATGGTCACAATAAGAACCACTTGAATGAAAGCTCTCCACAAAAATAGTTGTTAGGCAACTTATTCTTCCACTAAGCTGCTGTTCTCCAGAGGCGTTTTTAGAGATAAATCAGGCGCAAAACCAGTAATTTAACTATGAAACTTCATGCTGCCTTCAAAGAAGGTGCACACATTCCCAAAAATTCAGGAGGTGATGGTGGTGAGAAGTGAAGAGAAAATCGGAGCATTTTTCTCTTTGTATAATCTTGGAAAACAAAGACTTCTTCATATCTTGCTGGAAATGTCCTGTGCTGGACCACGTACATCCCTGTTTTTTGTGTGTGCATAATACCCATAGTATCATCTTCATTTTTCTTTTATGCAGAAATTCCTACTTAAAAGGCTCCGAACCCTCTGATCAAAAATCACCCTTCAAAATCGAGAGGAAAAAGTATAATTCACTAATTTTCAGACAGTGTTCGTGTTGATGACGACCGGCAATAAAAAATAAATATTTTCTTCTTCTCTGCACGTAGCAATTACGTACGAACAAATAGAAATCTTCGTTCGGTAGGACCACGCCGTCGACCTCCTCCTTTAGGCGGAGTCCAGGGAGTCCTTGGTCTGACCGCACCTCAAGGAGGCTGAGCTGGAAAGACTCTTTGCCGAAAACGAGCACCTGACCCGCGAAAACGCCCTCCTTCGGGAAACCGTCAAGGTGAAGCTCGAAACAATGAGTGACTTCAACGTGGAAATAAAAATAATCTGTGATGAATTCAAAAAACAAGATGAAACGAAAAAAAAAATGTTTGTGTTTTTGCGGGATACGAAACTTGACCCTTTCTTCCCGATTGCTATTGCTATCCAGGAAATGGAGATGGCCATACTCTCGGTCTTCGTTTGTTAAGTCCGAGCGCTACTGTCGTAGTTCTTTGAGGAACTTGAAGAGGTTAGGTTTCCCTAGTCATTCAGGAACTTTATTTGATAAGGTAAACTTTTAAAAAATTTAAACAGACTCGAGCTTTATTAAAAGAAAACAAATCTCGTCTTTAAATATTTAAAGGTTTGTAGCAACACATTTAGGCATACTTTATTCAAATACATGTCTTTTTTTCAAAAAACAATTGTAATAATTTATTCAACCATAGCTTCCATTTTGGCATCACGATGAACTAACTGTCCTTTATTTCGTTTCTACACCAACATATTTGGTTGCCCTTCTGATTTTTGAGGTCCAATGAAAGCGACGGATCTGGAGGTCATTCATCGAAATTTTTATTTTTACATAGCAAAATGACAGCGCGTAAAAGCAGACGGAGATCGCTGGTATAATTTGGAAAGGTAACGGATGCAATGGATTCGAAATATTCAGGGATTTCATTCGCTCCAGACTTAATATCAACGCACTTGGACTAGGACACAGCATTCAAACTTTCATTTTGAAAGATTTTCAAATATTTGAATAAAGGAACGCTTGTGTTCCATTTCTTCATGAGCACGAATTTTTTAAAACGGATTTCTACAACATTTTTGAGGCAGTTCCAAGACAATCCAAAAGTCAAATTCGAAACTTCTAAAAATATCAAAAAGTCAAAATTATATGTCCTCAAACGGGAAAACATATTGGAAAAGAAGTTGAGCTTCATATTGTAACTCATATAGGTACACAGAACGCACTTTTTCCGAGTTCGAAGATATGTCGATAACTAAAAAATGAAAATTTTATTTACATTTGTGTACTGTACAGTATATTCAGCAGAAAAATAATCGAAAGTGAATAAATAAAATGAACAGGTTCTTCCCTCCCCCCTCAAATTTTACGAATTCATGCAAAATACTTTTTGTTTGGCAGGCAAGGAGGAGGAGCGTCAGGCATTGGCCCACATGCAGCAGGTTTACCAGAAGCAGGTGATGTTTTCTATTGAAACAGAATTCCCTCATCAGAAAAAAAAAACAGAAGTTCGCATTGCTCATTACCATCTATGATGTGGTCTTTGTCCATCAGATGGATGAAATGCGACAGGAAGTGCAGAAGCGAGACCAGGAAATCCTGGCGCTGTCTGCCAAGTCCAATAAAAAAAACAGAAGTTCGCATTGCTCATTACCATCTATGATGTGGTCTTTGTCCATCAGATGGATGAAATGCGACAGGAAGTGCAGAAGCGAGACCAGGAAATCCTGGCGCTGTGACGGTTCAGGTTCCGCAACCTCCTGGTCTTGGTGCTGAAGGTCGTGGTGTAGCCCGAGGAGTTTCTCCCAGAGTAGGCCTTCCTTCTCGTAGTCCCTTACCATGTATGGTTTCACGACGTTGAAGGTAAAGAAAATTGAAAAAGGAAAAAAAAAAACTTCAACGAATGACTATATATACGCAGTTTTTCTCTTCCGGTAGCTGTTATACCCAGTCGGAGTTAATGGAAAACCTCACATTCCTATACGTAGGCTGCAAAAAGCTCACGAGCTCTTTTCGGAAATACGGTTTTTTCTCTTGGAATTTTTTTTCCAGTGTTATTCAGAGAAACCGATGATGCAAAAAACTGTCTTACTAAACTTGGTGATTTCACAAAAAAAAAAAACGTATACACTAGAATCACGTTAGAATGAATCGTTTGGGGCCTTGAAAGAGCTTTATTATGAACACAAATTCGTTAAAAATAAATTAAAATAGCATTTTGGCTGTAGGTAAGGGACTAGGAAAAAATCGTTGAAAGCATTATTTCGTTATAACGAAACTTCTGTAACGCGATTCTGCTGGACTATGTTTTATAAAAGGTGATCCTGTTTTAAAAATTGTCTATATAGGGCTCTTAATGAAGAAAAGTCGTCAATTGAGAGAAATATTAAAGCGATTCCTGAAGAGAGTTTTCAAAATTTGCTTCTTTGTAATATATGAAGGGTGGGAAAAATCGCTTCATGGAATCATTCTTTAAAATAAGTGGCAAGAAAATTTGATTCATTTGTAAGCTTAGCTCAGAAAAACGATGAATGCGATTTGAATGTTATTCATTTTCCCCAGCGTAAAAAAAAGGAATCCACCTTTTCTTAGCATAATTTTTCTGCTACACGATCATCCTCTGAATTTTCAACTGTGTTTATAAATGCGGTAGCTTCGAAATTTATTCAAGTAGAATGTCACCTTTTCAAGGAAACACGGTAGTTATTGAAGCTTTATACGGAACAACCGACCGACGAACGCATTTTCCCGAACACCCACGATATAATTTCGAACTGAGTTTTACTCGTATAAGAAAGATTTACCGAAGGATTTCAACTGATTTCAGGCCGAGGATCTTCGAGACCGGCTTGAAGAGAAGAACAAGGTGATAGAGAAGAAAACGCAAATCGCATTACAGGCAACTCAAGAGAAGAACAGGATCACTACTGAATTGAACGAGATGCGGGACCACATTGAAATCAAGGACCGCAAAATCAATGTCCTCCAACGAAAGGTGAAACACGTGGAACCACTTTCATCGAATGGTTGAATATGAATTCAGCTGTCAAATTGAAAAAAAAAATTACGTAGGAAAAAACTTTCAAGTATCTTTCATTCCATATTAACACACAAGTATATAGAACCTGGAAGAACTGCTGATCGAAGGAGGAAGATAATTAATCGAGTTTACCGACACAAAATCATTTGCTAAATCTGGAAAGATGCAGTAATCCCGTCGATATTTCTGCACGATTTCAATTTTTTCTTCCAAAATACCGAATAAAAAAAATGAAAAAACCATCGATCATCATAAACCTCTTTTCAGCATATTTTCCCTATTTTTTTTTGCAAAACAGTGGATTATATGCAGTATTCTTAGAATCTGTTTCTTTATGTTTGGTCCTTCGAAACAAGTTGAATATAACCTGAGAAAGTTACTGCAGATTACACCGGAAAATTCGCTGTAAAATATCGTTCAATAACCCTTTTGACATTTAGCACAAAATCAGTTCTTTCTTCTGAAATACCAAATCCGCAAAAAATATAGCCTATCCCCCTTTTCCGAAACCGTTATATTTCACTCCTTGTCAATATCAAAGCAGAAACGGAATGGTATACCAGGAAATTTCAACCTCTTCCCTTTTTGAGATGGTTGTTATTTATTACTGCTTTGAAATATATGCAGATTGAGAACCTGGAAGAGCTGCTGAAGGAGAAGGACAACCAGGTGGACCTGGCCCGGGCTCGGCTCTCAGCCATGCAACAATCGCACACCACGTCCGAGGGCACTTTGTGCACTCTGGAAGAAGCTATTGGCGACAAGGAGAAGCAAATTGCGCAGTTGCGGGAACAACGCGACAGAGCCGAGCGAGACAAGGCCGAAGAGCGGGATTTGCACGAGCGGGAAATTGCAGAGTACAAGATGAAGCTGCAGTCGGCCAACAGCGAACTGGAGAAGGTACGTGTGATGGAGTAATTGAAAATTAAGTTTTATTTTATTCTTTTTCTAGGCCTGTACAGTAACATTTGCGGGGACTTCAGAAAACTTTGTTGTGTTCAGCGAGATTTTCAAAATTAAGGACTGGAAATTTTTGTGTGGAAAATTCAATAAATCAATAAGTCTGCTAAATTTTAAATTACGTGCATTCTTTGGGTGGTTCAAATTATGGCAGATATTTTGGTCCAGATGGATGATTCATCCTTGTTCCAGTTTGAGATTTAGGTGACGCCTGCATCACAAATTCAAGAACACTCTTGGGAATTGCATGAGACAGAAAAATCCTAAACCTCTTTGTCTTAGAGCATCATCATCATCATAATCATTTCATTTAAATTATGAAACCAGGATTATTTAACCCTTGGGTGGCAAAGTTGGACTTTTTTTGCACAATTTTGTTGCACCTCAGAGAGGTAAAGAAAAAAATGTCAACAGGGGGTTAAGGGCAAAGTTGGGAAAAATCCTGATGTTTTTTTCCCTGGGGACAGACAAATTTTGTGGGAAAATTAAAAAAAATGCCCTGTTAGTCTACCGGCTTTTTTTTGGAATTATCCCAACTTTGCCTCAGCCCACATGGAAGGGTTTTTCTGACCTTTGAAATTATGAAAATGCGGGAGGATGCAAAAATAATCCTACTCTGTCCTGTTCTGGAAAAGAACCCTCTGCCGTCCAAGGGTTAATTTCCTTGTGTTGAGACTGAAAGGTCGTTGAATCTTTTTTTAAAAATAAAGAATGAAGCAATCAGCCAGGCTACGGCCAGGGTGCTTTACATCCTAGTGTAAGGTTGGTATATTTGTCAAACAGGAAGGAGTTCAAATCAATCAATTTATAAACCAGAGTTTTGACATCTTTTGTGTGAGACTTCCAAACAGCGACTGATATCAAAATCAATGATGTTTGACAATTTAAGAATCCTTCTCTTGGTGAAATTTTGTCCTTGAGGACTGGGAAATCCCAAGGATATATTGGAAGACCTTGAGGGAAACTTGAGGTTAAACTTATGTTCCCTTGGAATTCCTGAAGGATTAGGCTTCTTTCAGGAGCTTAAACAATACGCCTTCTTTCTAATTTGTATTTCTGAAACCTATTCGTAGTTCTAATTTCCAACACCTTGTTCTTCTGTATACAGGTCCAAGTCCGGCTGGAAAGAAGCCTGGCGGAGAAGGCCAAGCTCGAGACCAAATTGGAGAGTTCTCAGTCTGACCTGGGCAAGGCCCGGGCCGAGCTGGACAAGATCCAAAACGAGGTCGGCAAGTCATCCAGCGATTGGGAATCGGCGAGATTCAGGGTCACCAAGCTCGAGATGGAGAACGAGAAGTTGCGCAGCGAGGTCGACCGACTCCGCAGTCAACAACAATCTTCTTCAGTTAGTTTATTCGCATATATACTGTACATTTACTGTTATTTGTTTCAGGCAAAAGACCAGTGTAGCAAACCTCAGGAAAAAAAAAATTACTTCCAAATTACTGGATCCAATCAGCTGTGAATTGGATTGACCTCCCGAAAAAGTGCAGATTCAAGTTCATTGAATCCTAATTAAATTCTAATATTCAATTTATTGCCTCTTTTTTCGATTAAGGAAGGTAAAATGGTTAAAATAATTATTTTTTCAAGAATGCTTATATGTGTTGGTGGCGAAATGCTTCATCTATGATGATACTTAATGACTGAAGACAAAAAACACGCAACGGGGTGTTAAAAACTTTCGATTTACACTGGAATTTTCAATTCAACGAGGTCTAGGATCCTATTCTTGTTTAAAACAAAATCAAAAGGATAAATATCAACCAAAAATTGCTGCTTGATAAAAATCTTTTGACGATGAATTTCTTCAATTTTTTATGCTCTTTTGGGAAAAACAGCAATAATAGCTGCAGAACCACGCAATTTTAAACTGCGAGAACCAGGCTCTTTTCTCGACGACAACGACGGACTCAGTTTTAAAAGAAACAAAAACGAATCAGCTTGTTTCATGACAGAAAGTACTGTAATTTGAAACGAGGAATAATACGGGCTTTCCGTATTTCCGATGTCGTCTCGTCTCTTATTTTTTATTCCTCGAGGACAGGAAGGGGACCCTTCTCCGCATTGCAAAAAAATCGTTGCCACGTCGATGAGAGAATCACGTGACGATGAATCCAAAAATTGTTTCTCTTCGCAAAAAAAAAAAATGAAAAGCAGCAGCAGCAGCAGCAGCAACAGGACTACGGCAACTACGGCGGCTCGTACTCGTCCCTGTACTCGCGCCGAGAGCGAGATTCCAGCATGGACCGAGGCCGGGACCGAGACGTGGTGGCGTCCAGGGACCGTAGCAGGGACCACAGTCGGGACCGAGGCGGCGGCGGTGGCGGCGGCTACTCGGACTACGGCGTCGGCGTCGGCGGCGGCCGAGACTCGGGCTACCTCACGCACTCGGAGCAGTTGGCGACGCTGCAGGACAAGTACGACAAGGCACAGCAGGACCTGCGAAGGGCGCAGGCCGAACTCCGCATGAACCAAATGGACATGGAACGATCGCAGGCAGACTCCAGTCAGCTCCAGGAGAAGGTCGAGAAGTCCCAAGGTCAGCCAGCAATTTCATTTCGGAGCATACTGTATCAGGGTTTTTTTGTTTTTGTTTTTCTCTCCGCGGTCAAAATGACCTCAAGAGACGAATGTAAAATAATTTATGGTTCTTGGAACATTGTCCCTGCGTCAGAAATGTCCACGTTTCCGATGCATACATTTTTGCAATAGACCTGAATGGGGTATATTTACAGTACGACGTGCCCTCGAGTATAAGACACCCGAATTTTTGAACCTAAAATTTTGTCAAAAGTGTATCCCCGAATAAGACCCGCACCCCATTTTTATAGGCTGAAGGTAAAAAAAGAAAAAAAAATTGGGAATAAAAATGCATCAGAATTCACATTTCGAATCTAATTTTAGTGATATTGAATGCTAATTTTCCATTTGTTCAATACAAAAATTTTCTGTGAAATCGGCTAAAAATTACTGGTCAGAATCAATAAGAAGGAGACTCGCCAAATTACAATTTTGCTTTACATTTTTATACCTGCTGCCCATATGACGCGCATCCTATTTTATATTCATAATTTTGGAGAATGTTGCGCCTGCTAAAGTGAATTTGCAGTAATTAGGTCTCCTGTATTTCGAAATTTTTGAAAAGTCTCACGAAAAGGGAATAATTTTTCTTGACTTGAAGATTTATAAAAATAACTGCAGAAGAAAATCATACAGAATTCGCCCTTCTGGCATGAATAAAGCCCAAAAAGCAAAGAACAAAGGCAAGTCTTGCGATATACATTTTCACACCTGAATGAAAAAAAAAAAACAATGAAAAAGTGTAGCATGAACTTAACACATTTTGGATTATCAATCGGACTGAATTTATCGTATGATATGCATTTTGAATTTTTTTTAAATATAGACAGACCTTCTTCTTCAAGATGTATCAAAATTGTGAATGGTAAAAATGTTCGATTTTTCTAAATATTTGTTGAAAAAGTGTACATATCTCTCTGAAAAAATCTGAATGTCGGGGCAGATTCTTCAATTTGAAGTGTCTTTAACTCCAATCATCTGTAATTCGGTGCTCCATTGTCTAATATTCGATATTGAACGTACTTCATCATGAAATGAATCTTTCGTCATGAAAGCGTTTCCAAAAGTTTTTTTTTAGTTGGAAGTGTCCTCGCTAAAGTCCAATCGTCCGTAAATTGAGGCTTAACTGCAATTATCTAGGAAAGCGGAAAAGCTCAGCATTTATGGGCCCAAGTATACGTCTGATATTCGAAATCAAACGCTATTTTCGAATGAAATAAATATTTATTTTTGAAAGGGGAAATATATCGACTGAAAGCGCGGCTGGAGAATGCGCAGTCGGAGAAGGACAACCTGCAAGAGGAGTATGACCGGAGCCAGGTCGTGGTGTCCAAGGCCATTGCCGACAAAGACCGGGCCATGGCGGAACTGGCCAAGTTGAACGAGGAGTTTGAGCGAGCCGAGGCCACTTTGGGCAAGACCCAGATGCAGCAGGACAAGACCCAGCAACTGCTGGACCAGGCCGAGGCTGAGGTGGAGCAGTTGCAGGAGCGACTGGAGCGACAGGCTGCAGAACTCAGAAGAGTGAGCAATATTAATCATTATTTTTTAAATTTCAGCTGTAAGTAAAGTTGAATGGGAAATTTATTTTTCCTCCGAGTTTTGCGATTTTCAAACCCACGATGGACGCGGCGGAGGAACTTTTTTTCTTGATTTTTGCGGCAATATATAGAGGTTTCAAGAAATGTATTCCTTATACAGTACACTGTATTTACCGCGTTTGTATTGAAACATATTACACGCGCCCTCAAGTAAGACACTAATAGTGTAATTTTTTATCCTGAAATTCAGATGAAATTTCATTCCCGAGTATAAGGCACACACACCACTTTTAATCACAGGAAAACTAGAACATTTAAAAATTAAAAGACACCCGAATTAAAAAAAAAACACGAATTCAATCAATTTTTGATATTTTTGTTAAAAAAAAACTTCGGGTCAAAAATCTCCCAATAAATTCAAGTGTGATGGTTACCTAAACTTCTTTGAAAGTTGTATATCCCCGATTATGACGTGTACCCCCTTCCGCCCCCCTGAATTTTGAAAAAAAAATGTGTACGTGGTATACTGGAGTAAATACGAGTATAAATATTTTTGCATTCAGAAGCACTCTTTTTTTCAGAAAATGCGTTTGGTTCTCATTGATCTTCAATTTTATTCTAAATTTTCAGGCGCAAGCAGACAGAGAAAAGGTCGGAGATGAAATGGAAGCCCTGCAAACGCAAGTTGACAAAGCTCAGGGACAAATCGTGCGATTGCAAAAGGAACGCGACAGCGCACTCAACGAAATCGAACGCATGCGTGAACGTCTGGAAAAGATGCAGGTGAGTCATATTTGTTGGTGACTGAAGTCACTGCAACAAGAAAAAAAGCTAGGCTGTAAAGAAAGAAATTAGTAGATAATAGATTGTCAAGAAAAACACAGAATCAGCCCGGGACAGGGGCCGGGAATTCGCGGTGGAATCCCTATTTAAACGTTAAAGTATATTTCATAGCCCTGCAAACGCAAGTTGACAAAGCTCAGGGACAAATCGTGCGATTGCAAAAGGAACGCGACAGCGCACTCAACGAAATCGAACGCATGCGTGAACGTCTGGAAAAGATGCAGGTGAGTCATATTATTTGAAACTGCTGAAGGCAAATTTCTTGTGAAATTTTGAAGAAGACAGTTTGGACTTTGAGGATGAAGGGGATTTTGAAAACATTCGAATTCTTTTTTTCTGTTTGAGGACGTCCTTATAATTCACTCCATCTGGATATAGGCGTGGAAGTTTTTTTATTTATTAAAAAAGGGTCGAGGTTTTGACCAGAAATTGTTGGCAAGATGAACGGAAGAAATTGATGGCTATATATATCACCTAAAATTGAAATGAATTTGTTCCAAAATCTTACTCTGTTGCCTAATCAGTCTTCTGAAAATCCGTCCATTTTTGGCAGAGGAAAAAAATTCTGAAAATATTTGTGAAAGAGATGGTTTTGGAATGACAAATCATTTTACTTTCACTCTGTCTCTCGTTCACGGCCTTTTTACGAAGTTCTATAAAAGGTGACGTATATATACACGTACGACTTATAAAAAAGTTTGAACTAATTAACTTACGTTAAAGTTGGTTTTAGTTCTATGTCATGTCATGTTAAAAAACTGCTGTGAAAGTGAATGTTGTTTTAAATTTTCACCAAAGGCAGACCGAATTTGAGAACCTGTAGTACTTCTCAGAAATTGTTTCTTCAGTATAAATATATCTTCATTCGAAAGATGTTTGTATTTCAATCGAAGTTATTTTACAATTTTAGAAACTAAAGTTGTCAATGTCTCTCAAAAATATAATTCTTCAATCGGATTTTTTTAATATTGGCAGCCCTTGCGTATATAGTAACTTATATACTGGCATTCGAATGTCGTTTGAAAAAAATTAAAAACGAAAAAAATAAGATGATCAAATAAGAAATCATTTGTTTCTCTTTTTTTTCCAGAGCGACTTGGCTCGATTCGAAAGCTCGAAAGAGAGCCTGGAATCCGAAGTGGACAAACTCACTGGGAAACTGGACTCTCTGCAAACCCATTTGGTGAAGACCCAGCGTGACAAGGAAAGTGGCGCCACGGAGCTGGAATTGCTCCGCGAGAAGATGGAGAAGACTCGCATGGGTCTCCAGAAGGCGTCCGCCGAAAGAGACGCTCTCCAGGCTGACCTCACTATCTGGAAAGAGAAAGCAGAGAAGTTGCAGATCCAGGTAGTCAAGCTCACCGACGACCGAGACTCGACCAACGAAGAATACGAACGTGTCCTAGAAAAGTGTGATAGGTATGTTACGACTGTTTTATTTGTTCTCGCTGCAGTTCAAGAATGAAACATAATGAAGTACAGTATCACTCAAGTTTTGGCTATCGACTTCACTCGAGTATAATGCGTTACTTTTCATGAGAATATTATGCAAACTTTAACTAGTTATAAACTTGTCTTTTAAATTCATACCCGACGCACTATGACCTCGCACCCCTTTTTCCCCTCTCAATTTTGGAAAAAAGGCACGCTTGGGATAGTTTACTCGAATAAATAGGGTGAATTCACACGTTATTCATGGATCCTTTATTTTTTCAAGGGTGCAAGGAGAGGTGTACCGATTGCAGAACCGCCTGGACTCGGCTCAGCGCGAAGGCGACACTGCCCAAGTCGCCCTCGAAAAAGAACAAGCCGCCAGCGCGAAACTCAAGGAAGAACTGCGCAAAGTGCGAGAAGAACTCCAATCCGTCGAGGACCTCTACACCAAGGCCATGACCCAGCTGGAACGCCAACGAGACTACGACGACCGAAGCAAAAAGGAAGTCGACGACATCAAACTCGAACTCGAGCTCATGCGCGAAAAGTACGACAAGGCGCAGAACGACATTCGTCGCGGACTCGCAGAGAAGGAGAAACTCGAGAGCCAAGTGGAAAAGCTCACGTTCGACGCGAACCGACTTCAAACCCAGTTGGACAAGTCGCAGGCCTCTGGAGGCAAACACCAAGAAGAAATGGACAAGCTTCAGGGCCAGATTGAGAAGGTGTACGAAAAGTGCGATCGGTTGCAAATCGAGCTCAGACGGGCTCAAATGGAGCGCGACAAGTTCATGAGCGAGAATGAAATGTTGCAAGCCGAAGTGGACAACGTTCAGTCTCGCGTCGGGAAATTCCAGGACAGCGAGGAAAGGACCAAAGAAGAAGCAGAACGGATTCGAACCGAGGTGCAAGTGCACAAGGAGCAGTGCGACAAATACCGATCCGAGTCGGAGAGACACATGTTGGCCAAGATCAATTTGGAACAGGAGTTGGAAAGGCTCAAGAATGATCTGGATCGAGCTGAGACCGGCAAGAGTCGCCAGATGGCGGAGTCGGAGAAAACGAGTCAGGAATTGCAGCAGATGCAGGCCGAGATTAATAGACTGAGGGACAAGTACGATTTCAGTCAGCAGGAGGCTACCAAGTACCGGCTAAGTACTGAGAAGCTTGGCGAAGAGCTCAAGAAGGTCAGAGCGGAACTGGATGTCGCCCAGAACCAGTTCCACAAGCTCACTTCCACTGACACGGATAAGGTACAAAATAAGTTGTCATGTGCTTTTTTCACCCACGGATTTCCACATTTTTTCAAATCATCGAAAAAAGCCGAAGAAGTAAAAATTATACATGCGCAAATAATGGCGGAACCTTATTTATACGCCAATTTTTAAACAAAACAAAATTCGCAGCGCGACCTTATTCTTTCACGAAATTTAAATAATAATTTTTCTCTGCTTTGAAAATGAAATCAACAGGCGATGGAGCTCGAACGCGCCAAGCTGGAAGTGGAAAAAGTCCGCGGCAAGAACGAGAAACTCCTGACTGACCTGACCCGGTCACAGAAGCAGCTCGAAGCCCTGGAATTCGACAAAGAGCGCCTTCAAAAGGACCTCGCAACCGCCACTGAACAATTGTCCAACCACTCTGTCAAGGCCGGCGAAGACGCCAAACACACCAAGGCCCAATTGGAGAACCTCAACGCATCTCTGCTCAAGACCCGAGAGCAACTCGCAGCTGCAGTCAAGGCCAAGGCAGTGTCTGACAAGCAGTTGGCAGATGCCAACGAGCGACTCGCCAAGTCCCAGCAGTTCTTGGCAGACGCGGAAAAGTCTTTGACAAGCATGCAGTCGTATAGCGACGAGCTGAAGACGCTGCGAGACAGACTCGGTTTGGCCGAGACGGAAATGAAGACTCTGTTGGCAGAGAGGGACAGATTGGCTGCTGAAGCCCTGGCAGCGCAAGACAGCTTGTCAGAGTATAAGAAGATCGTGGAGGAGACTGCGGATGAGCACAATAAGAAATGGAAGGCTGAGTTTGACAAGCGGAAGCAGCAAATGGAGAATGTGGAGAAGGAACTCGCCGAACTGCGCAACGAGTACATGAGAGTCAAGCAAGAGAACGCCAAGATGCGGGACTTCATTGAAAACAAGGTTCGATTTTGCACATTCAACTGCATGTACATCAAATTCTGCAACATTTAGATACCTGTATTTCTTTTTTAAACGAAAAACTCTTTAGAAAATTTACCTGGAATTGGCAGCAAGGCGGCAGTACTTTCAATTTTTTATTTTATTTTTTTTTTATTTGGGGCAGGACAAACAAAACAAGGACGTCTCGGAAGAAGTGAAACGCCTGGAACCTGAGCTCGCCAAGGTGACCAGTGAAAGGGACCAGCTTGTGGGGCAGCTGAAAAAGTCCCAGGAGATGCTTTTGAACTTGCAGCAGGACTTGCAGCAGTCGGAATCAGAGCTGGAGCAGGCTAGAAAGGCCTCTGAGAACCTGAAGCAGGACCAGGGCAGCAAGGGCAAGGAGATGGAGGAGCTCAAGGCCAACTTGAAGAAGCTGATTGACCAGAGGGACCAAGAGATCCAACGCCTCACTGCGGACCTCAAGACCAAGGAGAAGGACTTGGTTTCACTTTCCCAGGTGCGATATTGCTTGCAACACTTTTATAATGTGGTTCATGGTGAAGTAAATTCACATTCTAGCACCAATTAAATAATATTTTAATACAGTGGTACCTTGCCTATAACAAGCGCATTGCCTTATACAAACAAATAGCCTAACAAACACAAAGAAAAAATGCTGAAGAAAAAAAAAACCTTTCACCTGGTGAACGTTTGGGCCTGCACTTGGTGTAATTTTTCACCACAGAAATTTCAAATTTGCCTTCTCAGCGTTTCCCCCCCATTTTTATGCATAAAAAGACCAGTTTTGTTGAAAATGGGAATGCATTTGAGTAAGAATAATCAAATTTTGTATTACAGCACAATAATTTCCTTCGCGCAATTTTCCTTTCCTCTGAACAAATTATCCAAAAACAATATAAAATTTTTAATAATTCAGAAGAAATTCCAAAAATTAAATTAATAAACTATGAGCAGCTGCGTTTTTGCCCAAAGAAGCTTCACATTTCCACACGCGAATAAAAAAATGAACTGGATAATTATTTTTTTGAATCGCATCAAGGTTTTGTCTGAATATAACTTCTGAAGCATATATTGCTCAAATTCTAAAAAGCTGTATAGAGCAGGTTGCGGAAAATACTGGAAATTTGAGCAATATATTAAAAAAAAATTGGCTAATACGACCTTGAACGTCTGCGATTCATCTCTGTATTTTGAGTTGGTCAACTGAACATTATACTCATTTTCCCAAAGAAATCAGCAGAAACAAATTCATTAAACCATAAAAGATTTAATGTGCATAGATACTATATTTATTTTAAACCTCTCTTCTGTAAATATTATCGTACGCGTGTTTTTCTCGGAAAAAATGTGGAACATCCGAAGAACAATTTCATGCTAAATTGGGGTTTCAATCGGCAAAAATAAACAGAGAAATTTGCTGATCTGAGACCAGACGAATGTTCAAGAGTTCTACAAAATTTCTGAGATAAGAATGCCTTCTGCAAAACTGTATTCACCCCAAATGATGTTTGCAGTTGCTCTGTTGTTTTTTCAGTGCCTATTCTTTTAAAACAAATTTCCAGAGGAAAGACGAAGAAATTGAATCACTGAATGAAACTTCGGCTAATTTCCATTACATTCCAACATATTTATGATGTGTATAAACAGCAGTCAATACCCTTTGGTTTCTCCTAATATACGCAGTTGTTTTCTTCCTTTTATAAGTCCTTTCTCTACAGCAGTGTTCTCCAACCCATCAGCATTCAGCAGTGCTTCATTGCTAAAATTGATTTGTACAAAAAAGTAAAATTATTTTAATACCTGCCATAAAGTCTCAAACAAAACTTTTTTGAGCCTGCACAAAGAATGTATGAAACTTTTCCAGTCCGCAGAAAATCTTTAAAAATTTGCTGGTCCGTGGGCCCAATAGGTGGGGGAACACTGCTCTAGATGAGCAATGTTTGCTCGCGGACCGGCAAATATAAAAAAAATTTTGCAAACCGGAAAATTGTCATAAATTTTCTGCGGACTGTCAAAGTTCCATGCAATTTTTGAAGACCAGGACATTTTTTTCAAATACCTGCCACAAAGTCCCTAAAGCAAAACTTGTATTGCAAACATTAACTAAAAACTGATAAGCAGCTAAATATTGGAATGTCTTGAAGAAAAAAAACAGAGCTGAGCTTCAAGAAGGGCTTCTCAGATTTAAAACTGAAAATAATATATTTCAGAAAAGTGAAGACATGTCTGGAGGGTAAAGTGTGATATGAAGAAAAGCTAATCTATGTATTTTCTCAGTTAATTTCAACTGCAATTTCTTTAGGAATTTCGGATAATTAAGCATAATAGGCTTTATTACTACCTTCTACAAATTTAGAGATTTTTCCGCGGACCGGCAAAAAAATTCTGCTAAGCGGATTGTAGAACACTGCTCTACAATATATTAATCGTTTCAGAGAATATTGATAAAAAAACCGAGAACTTGACTGATGTACGTATAGCGTCCTTCAAAATTTCCGTAACATGAATCCAGTAGTTAGAACTGAAGTCCTTCGGAATCACATAAAGTACTTGCTGCTTTGTTGTTGTTGTTGTTGTCTCGAATACTTGGTTTAATTTTATTTTAAATTTCTCGCCTCGATCCTCGTGGTACTCATATTGCCCACACCCCACCACAGGCTGCCAAGCAGGAACGCGCCCAGTTCGAGCAGCTGCGCCACGAGGCCGAGGAGCTGAAGCGGTGCCTGCAGGGCGGCGACATGCAAGCAGCCAAGATGCAGGAGCTGGCCATGCAGGAGAAGGCCCGGGCGGACAAGGCCGAGACGCTGGCCGGCAACATGCAGGTGGAACTGGCCGAGATGCAGCAGCAGTTTGCCCAGTACGACAAGGAGATGCAGCAGCTGTTGCAAAAGGACGCCGCGTCGTCGTCCGTGCACCACGAGGAGTTGCACAAGACGCTGCGGGAACTGGACCACGCGAGGGCGGAGATCCAGAGACAAGCAGTGGAGAAGGACCGACTCGAGGCACAGCTGCACACGCTGGTGGCTGAGCTGGAAAAGCAGCAGCACGTGCGTGTATATATATTAATTAATATACGAGTAGAGTAGAGTACAGTACAGATTGCAGTCATATATCCCTTCATTTAATTAACGTTTTCTTATTATACGCGCATATGCTGCAGTCATTGTTGGATTTTATTTCTTTCTCCCGAAGTATGAAGTACCAACTTGATCCAAAATATCGAAACCGAGATTGAAAACTAGATTACTTCTGCTCAGATTACATTGGATTCCTAAATTCAAGTTCTGAATAATCATTTTAAAAATGATAANCCCGCATCCAAACCCCCTCCCCACCCAACCCAACTCCCCTCAAAGACATTCAATCACTTCAAAGCATGAAACAAAGCATGAAACAAAGCACAAACCAATGACAAAAACAAAAGAGAACACACTCCACAAAATAAAACTGGACATCCTACACGTATTCTGCATTTAATTGTTTGGTTGATTTAACCATTATCTACAGCAGTGTTCCCTGACCCATGAAGTTTTTTGTCAGGCCACAGGGAATTTTCTTCAGCATAATAAATTTATCAGAAGTTGCAATGAAATCTGTTATCTTTATCTGAAATTTTGGAGAGACAATAGCAGTTGAAATCATGTGATGAAAAATAAAAGTTGGCCTTTTCTCCCAATAATACTGCAGACAAAATTTTACCTGCTGAACTGAATTGGTTTTAATGTTACATTCTGAGAAAACTTTCTCCTAGTCAACGTTTTTAATGTTTTTCATGACATTCCACTATAAAGCTGCTTCATTATTGGATCATGACTTAATTTTTGCAAAAGAGCAGAATGTTTTCAAATATCTTCCATAAGGTCTTTCAAGCCAACTATCTTTGAGTCTGAACAATTTCTATAAAACTTTGCCTGTCCACAGAAAATTTGTAAATTCGCTGGTCCAAATGTTCTTTGAAATTTGCTGAGCCACAGGCCCAAAAAGGTGTTATCTAGAATGTTGAAAATGTAATGGGGAAAACAATAAAGATTAGGTCACCTTGGGACCTCAATACTTCTGCTGTGGATAGGAGACTTATAGTACATAACAACTGTTAATTCAAATTCAAATAATTCTGTTAGTTCATATTCAAATTTATTTTGCACAACTTTTATTTAAGCTTACAATGCGTTTCGACCTTCAAACTTAACGTATTCTTTTTAACCGACTTTCTTAGTTTTCAAACTACTTTCTGTTTAAACAGAAAGAAACAAATTCTTACCACCCAACTATACCCATGAAAAAAAAACCTCTTCAACAGAAGTCAATATACACATTAATTATTTTTACCATACAAATAAATATTCTACAGTAAGCCATTATTCATGGTCTGAGCTAGGGACCATTATATATGCCATGAATACAAATAGCAGTTTATCATGGGATTTTCACCCAATAAAATCATAAAATTTTTTGCTGGGTTCCATGCATATAATACGCTATACTGAACAATTGAGAATGATGTCTTTCTCTGATTCCCCCATCAGGCTGCACAAGCTGCGCAGGCTGCCATGGCCAGTGCAGGTGATGCAGGCGCAGCCAACGAGCAGTTGTCCCACATGAACAAGGTGATGGCGCAGAAGGAGTCAGAAACGAAACGCTTGCAGGAAGAACTCCAACGGCTTCTCGGGCTCATGACAATGGCGGAGGAAGAGAAGTTTGCCAAGGACAAACAAATCTCCAGCCTCCAAGAGTAAGATACTGTGTACTGTACTGCATGCAATAGAAACATCGCCGTCCCCCGCATTTTAGTCTTATTTATCTAGATTCTAGTGAGGAAGAAAAGTTTGCCAAGGACAAACAAATCTCCAGCCTCCAAGAGTAAGATACTGTGTACTGTACTGCATGCAATAGAAACATCGCCGTCCCCCGCATTTTAGTCTTATTTATCTAGATTCTAGAACGTGATACGGAAAGGAGAAAGTAAGATTACTGCGAGGAAATGCGAATGTTCTTTCTTCCTCATCTTTTTTATTGTGTGATTATGTCGCGCAAGCCTAGAATGCAATGCCATCTAGCCCTTCTCCGGGAAAGTCGGGCTTTTTTTGTGCAGATTTTGGGTGCACTCAAGAATAGCATTTTAAAAAACCATGACAGTGTGTGCAGGGCATAGTCGGGAAAAATCCTGGCATTTTAAAAATTTCCCACTAAAAAATTTCACTTGGAAATGAAAAAAATGAAATCTTCAAGGCTCCCTTTCTTCTCCTGGACTTGTGTTGTTCCCCTATTCAAAAATTAACTTCAAGCTTGAAAGCCAGCAGGAGCCTAGGTTAGAGGTCAATACAGAAAAAGTCTGACTTAGGACTCTCATCCCAGCATTTCTTTATCCCTGGATAAACTCCAACTTTGCCCTTCACCACCTGGCAGGGGTTGCATAACCTTGTGCATAAATATTATGTAGGCCCGAGGGGAAAAAGTCCAAGTTTGCCCTGTGATGCAAACAAGGCTGTTGCCATCCAAGGGCTAAGCGATGATCTAAAACAGTGTTCCCCAACCCATTGTCCACAGACTGATGCTGGTTTGTGGTTGGTTTGTGCTTGTCTGTGGGACATTGTCTTTAGCATAATAAATTAATCAAAAGTAGCAATGATGGACATTACAGTATCTTTATCCGCAATGTTGGCAAGACAACGGCAATTAAAATTATGTTATGAAAAATAAATATTGGATTTTCTCCTGATAACACAAAGATTCAAATTTTCTCCTGAGGAAATACATTGATTCTTCATTCTGAAAAACCTTTCTTCAGGCCCACCTGTCTAATTTTCTGAAGACATTCCACTGAAGCTGCTTAATTCCTTGGTTCATGACTTAATTTTGNGTCCAAATGTTCTTTGAAATTTGCTGAGCCACAGGCCCAAAAAGGTGTTATCTAGAATGTTGAAAATGTAATGGGGAAAACAATAAAGATTAGGTCACCTTGGGACCTCAATACTTCTGCTGTGGATAGGAGACTTATAGTACATAACAACTGTTAATTCAAATTCAAATAATTCTGTTAGTTCATATTCAAATTTATTTTGCTGTTGAAAATAAATTCGAATGTTACGCAAAGCTGGAAGTTTGAATTGCATAAGAAAAATTGGCTGAAAGAATCAAAAGTTTGATGAAAGACAAATTTGTCTTTCTTTGTTTAAGAATGGTGGGTTGAATACCCATGAAAAAAAAACCTCTTCAACAGAAGTCAATATACACATTAATTATTTTTACCATACAAATAAATATTCTACAGTAAGCCATTATTCATGGTCTGAGCTAGGGACCATTATATATGCCATGAATACAAATAGCAGTTTATCATGGGATTTTCACCCAATAAAATCATAAAATTTTTTGCTGGGTTCCATGCATATAATACGCTATACTGAACAATTGAGAATGATGTCTTTCTCTGATTCCCCCATCAGGCTGCACAAGCTGCGCAGGCTGCCATGGCCAGTGCAGGTGATGCAGGCGCAGCCAACGAGCAGTTGTCCCACATGAACAAGGTGATGGCGCAGAAGGAGTCAGAAACGAAACGCTTGCAGGAAGAACTCCAACGGCTTCTCGGGCTCATGACAATGGCGGAGGAAGAGAAGTTTGCCAAGGACAAACAAATCTCCAGCCTCCAAGAGTAAGATACTGTGTACTGTACTGCATGCAATAGAAACATCGCCGTCCCCCGCATTTTAGTCTTATTTATCTAGATTCTAGGACGTGATACGAAAAGGAGAAAGTAAGATTACTGCGAGGAAATGCGAATGTTCTTTCTTCCTCATCTTTTTTATTGTGTGATTATGTCGCGCAAGCCTAGAATGCAATGCCATCTAGCCCTTCTTCGGGAAAGTCGGGCTTTTTTTGTGCAGATTTTGGGTGCACTCAAGAATAGCATTTTAAAAAACCATGACAGTGTGTGCAGGGCATAGTCGGGAAAAATCCTGGCATTTTAAAAATTTCCCACTAACAAATTTCACTTGGAAATGAAAAAAATGAAATCTTCAAGGCTCCCTTTCTTCCCCTGGACTTGTGTTGTTCCCCTATTCAAAGATTGACTTCAAGCTTGAAAGCCAGCAGGAGCCTAGGTTAGAGGTCAATACAGAAAAAGTCTGACTTAGGACTCTCATCCCAGCATTTCTTTATCCCTGGATAAACTCAAACTTTGCCCTTCCCCACCTGGCAAGGGTTGCATAACCTTGTGCATAAATATTATGTAGGCCCGAGGGGAAAAAGTCCAAGTTTGACCTGTGATGCAAACAAGGCTGTTGCCATCCAAGGGCTAAGATGATCTAAAACAGTGTTCCCCAACCCATTGTCCACAGACTGATGCTGGTTTGTGAATGTTTTTTGCTTGTCTGTTGGACATTTCCTTCAGCATAATAAATTAATCAAAAGTAGCAATGATGGACATTACAGTAGCTTTATCCGCAATGTTGGCAAGACAACGGCAATTAAAATGATGTTATGAAAAATACATATTGGATTTTCTCCTGATAACACAAAGAGACAAATTTTCTCCTGAGGAAATACATTGATTCTTCATTCTGAAAAACCTTTCTTCAGGCCCACCTGTCTAATTTTCTGAAGACATTCCACTGAAGCTGCTTAATTCCTTGGTTCATGACTTAATTTTGCAATAAGGATGAATTTTTTTAATTACATGCTATAAAGTAAGTCTTGAAAACAAAAATTTTGTGTCTGCTACGATTTTATTGAACTCTGCAAGTCTGCAGGAAATGTTTTGGAAATTTGCCGGTCCGTGAAAAATTTTATAAAAATTTGCTGGTCTGCCAGCTGAAAAAGGTTAGGGATCACTGATCTAAAACACAAGTAAATTTGCCAAATACTCCGGTAATGGCTCACTTCTCTGTTATCATTTTTAAAATGATTATTCAGAACTTGAATTTAGGAATCCAATGTAATCTGAGCAGAAGTAATCTAGTTTTCAATCTCGGTTTCGATATTTTGGATCAAGTTGGTACTTCATACTTCGGGAGCGTTGAGAAAATGAGCGTTGAGAAAAGAAACTCAGCTTTATTTGCTAAAATGTAAGGAGTCAATACTGTACCTTTCGAAAATTAACTTATTCATTCGGACATTCGTCTTCCCGTTGATCCTTATTATTCTCCATGACTTTCCCTTGCTGCTGTAATGTTTCTGTTTTTTTTTCTTATTTTGAGTTACTGTATTATATTTTTATTGACACTATGAAGCATATATGGGTCATTTGTTCAAAATGTTTCGAAATTTCTTCTTTAATTTGCAGTGCGTTGAAGAAGGCGAAATCCGGAGCTCACTCTGCGGTAAGAACGGCTTTTTGATTGGTTGATCTAATTATTTTCAACAAATGTGACTCAAAATAATTGTATTTTTTTTCTCGTCCGCAGGGTGAATCGCTTCTTCAGCAAGTCCCGAACCCGGGGAATTTCCTCAAAAGTTTGTTCTAGTCCCGATTGCAATGTCAAATACTTGATCTGTGGTACTCGTGTCGTGTGTGCAGTCGATCGGTGATCCACGTGTCATTTTTTTGCTACTGAAATTATTATTCTCATCAGGGGGGCATTGATCGAAGTTATCCGTTTCCACAGAATTACGCACACGTTGGGGGGGGGGGGGGGATGAAGAGCAATACTGAGTATTAATACATATCTTTGAACGAAAGTTCCGGGGTATTGCTTGGAAACATAACGAAGACTGACGGTTTAATTCAAGAGGAGGAGAAAAGTCTGAAAGAACGCGTGAGAGAAAGAAAGACCTTTTTTTTTCTTTTCCAGAAACTCAATATATTGCAAATGGGGGGCGAAAAACAGAACAGAAAAGAGGAACCTCATCGTTTTTCTTTTTTTTGTGACTCTTCAAGCACATTTCGCGCGTTGACTTTCAGCTCGATGAAGGCGTTTATCTTGTTTCCTTTCTGCGTGAATGACGTTGTTGAAGCGTTTCTTTTTTCGTTGTCTTGTTTGTATACATTCCGATCTCGGAAAATGTGCCTGAAGAAGCGCACTGCCACAAGGTGAGAAGATTCGAAAGGTAGGCCTCACGGTTTGAAAAGGAAGTTCGCTGTTCAGTTGATGAGAGAGACTCGTTCCCCTTTTTCTACGCGATGACCAAAAGCGGAGAAAGTGTTTTAGATGTTCACAAGGTGGTGGAATTGTTATTGTCTCGATGCAACGTGATGCAGGTAACAGAAAAAAAGAAAAGGGAAAGAATATTAGAACGTTATTATGACGGTGACGTTAACCTAGAAATTTTTCACGTCGTTGTGAAGCGAGGAGAATTTCTTTTTCCGTAGTTCGCAAAAAATTAGGCTTCATTTGCCGGAAGAAAACACACTCGGGTTGAAGCGGTTTTTTATACGATAGCAATTGATCACATCGCAAAAAAAAAGGATTTTCCATGATGGGCATACGGTTTTTTTCTAGTCTTCTTTTTTTTGGCGCTAAAAATCTCTAAAGGCTTTTCCGGGTTTGTTTTTTTCTTCATTCTCGTCACGATTCGATTTCTCATCCACGGTGATGAATTTTTTGGACCTATTTAAAGAAAAAAAACATTCATCCCCTGCGAACAGATTTTGATCAAAACATTCGACGGAAAACGTCATGTTGGTCGTTTCCGACGGATGAAACAAGATTTATTTGGATTTCCTTTTTTTGAGTTCGGTTGGTTGGAATGGAATCACAGGTGCGACAGGATTTCATTAGCTTGTTTTGCTAGACGAAATACCGTTTGTCTTGTCTTCCGCGTTTACTGTTCTTTATGTGCACTGCAAGAGGGGAAAAAAAATTCGAAAGAAAAATGGCAAGACTATACGGGGACACACTGTTGTTCGACGCTAGCAGTGCTGAGCAAGCTGGAAATCCGCTCCTGGGTGACTCGTTTTACTGGAGGAAAAATATATGTAACTGTCAGCAAGACCAGCTCTCTTTTTTATTGATGCCATTTATTGTTAGTTATTGAAAGAAAAGAAAAAGATTCTTCAGGGCTTATTCAGGAGCCAAATTATTCTTGACCATGTGTAAGAATAATGAATCAAACACTGCAACCAGCCTGGCATGGGCTGGCAACCTCTTTATACATAGAGGCTTCCAAAAACAATTGCGTATTTAATAATGTCCCAAAACAGAAATTAGTGACTCAGTGAATTTTGAAGGACATAATCACAAACGCAAGGTAATCACACAAAGTCTTTCAGGAATTACGATGGTTTTTAGCTCTAAAAAGCTTGAGAATTAGCAATGGGATGAATACTGAGCTTCAACTTTTGGGATGGAGAAGGAAGAGGAGCAAAGTGGTTATACATGTACATGAGAGTGTGTTTCTGGTTGGCTGATTTTGCCAGAATCAAAGACAATCCACAATAATGTTGTAATAGCCCTTTGGGACTGGGTTTTGGTGCTGAGGTCTAGGACCAAAGCACTGGTTATTGGGATGCAACTGGGTGGTTCATTAAAATAATATTATTACCAACATGCGCCACAGTCCCCAACATCATGTGAACCAGGTTCAGTATTAATTTTCTTCCAGAATAAGGTTATAAGAACCCTCAGACTGTGGCATGCTCCATTCCATCCCAGTTCTTGTTCACAGGCGCATTTTGGTTTGACCAAAGATCACCAAAATGCATCTAATTTTAATAGGCATAGTATTTGGTAAAATCTGGGATGCACCACTCTCCTTTTTTGAGAAATCTTCAATGCTAATCCTTTGCTTTGAATGCAGGAAAAAATCTGTGCATTTTTGAGCAAAATTGTTATTCTGGCAGAGGAAAAAATTGAGACTTTTCTGGACTTATTGGAGCTTGTTTTTTTTTCATTTCACTGCTTGTAGTTGTAATATTTTGCTAAAATAACCATTTTGCTAAAATATTTTTTTCACAGGAGGGTTAAAACCTCTGTCTGGATACCGAATCAGACATGTAATGTCTATATAAGAGTTTTGCATGCTACTGTCATTTGTGCAAGCCTTAGCTGCAATATTCAAACGCTGCTTTTTGGGCGGGGATTCCAAGACATATTTCCATCATAATTTGACGCACACTTCCTTTCCAATTTAGATTGAATGTTTGTTGTGGAGAAAATGAGAGAGGAAACTGATAAAGGTTTTCCTCCTGCATCAGCTGATGATGCAGTGCAACAATTTATTCAATTTTTCTAATTGTGGCCAATCAGAGGCCAGAGGATGTCCAAGGATGTTCTGGAATTTCCTAGTCAGGTCACCTGACCAAGAAATTTTTAGAAAATTATATAAGCTCCAAATAATTTGAATTTAAGTCAGTCAGTCCTGAACTCTTGGGCAATAATTTATTTACTTTTAAAATGAGTTGTGTGCACAAATCTGTGTTTCCTGTGTTGTTGAAATTTGCTTTGTGCATTGTTTGTGTTTATTCTTAGATTTTTTAAATCTGTTGAACTCCGCTGAAAGTGTTCATAAAATGATTGAAAAACTAGTAACATATATTCAAGGAAACCCCTTGAATATGTTTTCTTGGCCCTCAAAAGGCTGATTGACTGTATTTTTATTTCTGTTCTTTTGTGATCCTTGATCACAATGTTGGTCATTGCATTTCTTATCTGCCTTCAACAACTAATGCTGGTGTTCATAATAATAAAACTGAGCATGAATCACCTGCAATTTCTAAAAATTAATCTTTACAGTCACCAGGCTGATTCTATGATTTGAAAATTAAGAAAAGGATACTCAAAACCTTCTCTTGCACACAAATTTGCACCGAAATATCCAAGAGATAATTCTGAAAATAAAGAGGACAGTGTCTATAATATTCTTTTATATACACGTTATATAGCTTTTTCTCAATGTGGAAAATATTCCTGGCCATTTGGTCAAACCATAAGAAACTGACACTGCGGATCAATATTTGAGTTGTCCCCATGCTGCGGACGGGAAATAAACTTTTTCTGATAAAAAAAAAAGGATTCACGCAACCAAAAAGGGCACAAAATACAGGGCAAATTGATGGAAAGTTGCATTGAGATAAAAAAGAAATTTCGAACTTCGCAGTACAGTAAACTTCAATGCAAAGATTCCTCATTCATACAGAGTGATGGCCCAAATAGAATGTAATACGATTTTGCAGATTTTCGCGTAAGTTTTAGAAAAATTCTCAAAAAAGCTGTTTGCCTCGCTTTGTGGAGCCATTCACATCACTGTTACTTAAAATGCAAAACCCCAGTGTGCGCTTATCGTATTCATCTAGCAAGAACCTAAAGTCCCGAGAAAGTGCCGGAAAAATGCTTCAAGATATTTTCCACTGCATATATATGTGCATGCTGAATATTTTTTCAAACTTGATTAATTGAATGCAATTTCAACCAAAATCAAGATACAGTACAGTACAATTTTTT